GCACCAAGAGCTTGTAACACTCCAAAGAGAAAGGAAAAATTGAAATCGCATCATATGACCCCTTTAATATAAAATGCATGCTCTCAAACATTCATCAGCTTTTTACAACGGCTTTAAACAATTCATACAGAATTTACAGTACTGTGCAAAAGTCTTAGGCCGTTAGTATTTTCACCAACAAAAAAAATGGTTTAAAGTAAGTTATTTCTATCTTTTGCTGTAGTGTGTCAGTAGGAAATATCAGTTTACATTTCTAAACATTCCTTGTGCCATTAATTGTAATAATCCAGTGAGGTTTTTGTATGCAGAAGAAATCTGACAACAGCCAGTGCTCCACACAGAGATCTCTCTATATATATTTATATACATATACAATTTGTTGGGGCCAGGACTGTTAAAATATTATAGCATTTTTCATATTTATTATGATATTTTCTAGATAAATAATTACACTAACACATTTAAAAGGTAGCCATATTATGTATTTATTTATTTGGTCCAGCTCTCTCTGAGCATTTCAGTCCTAATGTATACTTTAAGTATGCACTTTGTTTAAAGTTGTTCATGTTGTTGTGTTAAGTCCACTAGGAGTACTTACTAGCAATATAGTGGTTACAAATATCAACAAACCTCTTGAACTTTACAACAGTTTCAGCCACCAACCTTCCTGCAAAGCTACAATACTGTGAACAGTTTTAGGCACTTGTGTAAAAATCCTGTAAAATGAGGATGCTTTCAAAAATAATGTCATAAATAGATTTTCTTTACCAATTAACTTCTATTAACTAAATCAAACATTTGGTGTTGACTACCCTTTGCGTTTAAAACAGCTTTTAAGCTGGATGATGCTGAGATCAGATCTCTGTGTGCAGCACTGGATGTTGTCAAACTCACTGTGCAAACAAAAGTCTCACTGCATTATTACAATTAATGGCAAAATGAATGTTTAGAAATGTAAACTGATATTTCCTACTGACACACTACAGCAAAAGATAGAAATAACTGACTTTAAACCATTTTTTTGTTGGTGAAAATACTAATGGCCTAAGACTTTTGCACAGTAGTATATGTAAAGCTATTTGCTTTATAGTGGAGAGAGTGGGAAAAGATGTGTGAGTGTGAATATTTAATAAATATTCAATAATAAATATTCAGAAAAGGCCAATCATATACATTTTCCTGTAACTGCATTTTAAAGCAATGTTTTATTAGATGTTAAATCCATTTTCTACATGGCAGGTAAAATCAATATTATGTCAAAGCAAAATTATCCAGGTGTAAAACTACAAGTTAGCAAACTGCCAATGTATTAAACAACATAAAATGCTTGGCTAAATATTTTTTATTTTCTTTTACATTTTTAAAATTGTAGCTGAAAATTTGAATGGTTTACTAAATTTGAGACATTTTTCTGTCTGGTTTAAGAAAACACAAAAACGTGCACAAAAAAAAAATAACTCTGGAATGAGACTGGAATGTTTAAACTCTTACAATGTTTAGAGAAATGACAACAAACCTTGAACAACAGCTCATCATGTGATGTACAGACAATGCTGAAACATAGTATTATCCAATGAAATTAGTTTCCTACTTCAAATGCTTACATTAAAAAGCCCTGAACCCTGCAAGAGGATAAATACGATAAAATGGTCATATAAAATTCTCTCCTAATCATTCGCAACAATTTGAAAGGTGCATAAAAAATAAAGTGTATTCTACAAATCCCATGCTAGAATGGCAGGAATTGGAAAAGTCAATAACATCAAGGCTGGACTGTTGACACTGGTGTCTACAGGTATTAATGTGCCACTGCAAATTCCCCAGCTCAGACGGCGGACGCTGATGTCACAGATCGCCCGGCGGGTACAGTGCTTCTTTTGACCACACCTGCCCTCACGGCAACTATGACTGAATGCTTCTCCACAACAAGCTCAAGGGGAACAAACTGCATCAGACGGAGCCTCCAGCATCTGGGTGATTTATTTCATGTTAGCGCTGTCATGTAACGAAAAATCTTTTTGCTCTCACAAATGGAACACTTGTTTATTCTTCGTATTTATGGTGCACTGAAAACCGCATTGGAGAAAGGCTGGAAATGTGTTTTTCAGCAACCGAGAGAGCGTGCCATGCGTTCGTCTGAGAGCCACTGACTGTGTTTGAAAATGTTTAGTCTGTGGCATGAGCTAATAGAAAACTAGAAAGACAGAAAGAAAGTAATGAGCCAGAGACTATTAAAACACACTGACTGTGTAGAAAACTGAACACTCTACCTCTTTTCAAATCTATAAAACAAGGGCTGCCAATATGAGCTGAAAGCATGTTTAGCATGGCCATAGTCCAGACAGTGAAAGATAAAGCTTTGATAGGACTGAAATAAACATGTATTAAAACAAAGTACAAGAACTTCTACATTCTTTGAGTAGTTTGTATATGCTATGCATACATGGCAATAAATCAGAAATGAATATTGCTGCAACAGTTTTAACGTTTCTTTAAAGGACTATTATATTATATTATATTATATTATATTATATTGTATTGTATTGAAACAAAGTACAATAACTTCTACATTCTTTGAGTAGTTTGTATATGCTGTGCATATGGTGCATCTCAATAAATTAGAATGTCGTGGAAAAGTTCATTTATTTCAGTAATTCAACTCAAATTGTGAAACTCGTGTATTAAATAAATTCAATGCACACAGACTGAAGTAGTTTAAGTCTTTGGTTCTTTTAATTGTGATGATTTTCGCTCATTTTCCACGACATTCTAATTTATTGAGATGCACCTGTACATGGCAATAAATAAAAAATGAATATAGCTGCAAGTTTGAACGTTTATTTAAAGGACTATTATATTATATTGTATTGTATTGTATTGTATTGAAACAAAGTTCAAGAACTTCTATATTCTTTGAGTAGTTTGTATATGCTGTGCATACAGGGCAATAAATAAAAAGTGAATATTGCTGCAACAGTTTGAACGTTTCTTTAAAGGACTATTATATTATATTATATTGTATTGTATTGTATACACTACCACTCAAAAGTTTGGGGTCAGTAAGATTTGTTTTCTGAAAAAAATTAAAACTTTTATTCAGCAA